CTGGGGACAGGCGAGGGAGTCTAGTTAGTCAAATATCACGCGGAGTGCGACGATAGTGCTGTTGGGTAATCCTGTGCCTGAGAATGCTTTGACTATGTGTGCCGACTGTAAGACACTGGCTGCCGTGTGTAAGAGGGATATGTGCTTGGATGTGTGGGTCCCACGATGGAGGGGAGGGCTGGAGGAGCGGCCACCAGCTTGCGCCAGGCCAGTGTGGGGCTATGAGGGTGAGAGATGCGCTCGTGCGTTGTGCGTGATGGAGTACTGCGGGGATGAGTTGGGGCGGCGGGAATGCAAAGCTGTTCTCAGCCGTCCAGGCAAGTGAGAAGGCGTCGGCTGCTGTAGCATCGGGGTGGGGGACCTTAGAGCAGAAACGCGGCAGGTGTGCATTTTGGGGGTTGGCGAATAGGTCAATGGAGTGGGGCCCCCAGCGACGCTCGAGGAGGCGAAACCATGGGAGCTTCAACGAGTAGTCATCGTGGTCGACTAGCTTGGAGAGCTCGTCTGCGCGACCATTCAGATCGCGTGGGATCCATTCGATGATTAGCCGAATCTCGAACTCCATGCATTTTTGGATGATGCCTTTGCACATGGTGGTGAGGTCGGGACTTCGGGAACCTCCTTTGCGAAGGATAGAGAACACGCCCTGGTTGTCCACCCGCACTAGCACGTGTTTCTTCCGGATTCTAGGCGCGTACGTCTGTAGCGCCCACAGCACGCCGGCGAGCTCTCTTTGTGTGCTGGAGGTTGGATGAAGGGCTCCGGGCATTGCCGCGCTGGCCTCTATCGCGGCTCCAGGGAATGTGTTCAGCGTGGCACCCCAGCTGTGGGCACTTGCGTCTACGTGGATGACTGCATCGTAGCTGTGCCGCACATGGAACGGGGCACCGTTGAAACGGTCGAACTCTTGGATCTAGAATCTCAGCTCTTCGATGGCGGGTGGGGAGAGGATGACCATGCTGGTCCATGTCGGCGCGTCGTTGATTGTTTCTAGCATGGCGTGGCTGAACGCTCGGGTGGTGGTGCCGAGTGCGACAGCCATCGATGCCAGCATGCCTGTAACTCGGGCCAGTTGCCGGACTGGGACTTTCCGCTGAGCTGAGCTTGCGCGCAGTAGGGCATGGAGGGTGGCGTTGAGTGTGGCTCGCCGCTCCTCGCCGATGGAGAACCGGCCGGCCTGTGTGTAAAGTTCTACGCCAAGGAACCGAAGGTGCTGTGTTGGTATCAGCTTTGACTTTTTTGAGTTGAGTACGAGCCCGGCAGCCTTGAGATCGATAACGATCCGTTGGCACGTGGCTTGAGCGTGTGCCTGGGTCGAGCACAGGAAGAGGATATCGTCCACGTAGGGTATCACGCGGACCCCCTGCTCCCGCCATCGCCGAGCTAATTGCTTGATGAGCTGCGTGAAGACGAATGGTGCTGTGGCGAGGCCGAACGGCAAGGATCGGAAGGCGTATGTGCGCCCGTCGAATTCAAAGCCGAGGAACGTCCAGCACGAGGGGTGGATGTCGACATGGTGGTAGCCTGATTTCAAGTCGATGGAGAACATCCAATCTCCTTGGCGGGCGAGGTCCGCTACGCGGTTGAGTCCCTCATATTTAAATTTGGGGACGATTATTGCGTCGTTCACCTTTCGGAGATCCAGAATCATGCGACACTTGTCTTTCTGCTCGACCACGTTGAGTGGGCTTATGCATCTCAGTTTCGCCGCAGGAATTTGGATGGCCGCGCCGGTCTCGGTGAGTTCAAGGATGGCCGTGCGCGTGAATGCTTCGTGGATGCGTGCGCCGGCATGGTTGCGATCGTGAAAGGCCGGCGGCGGCCCGAGTTTCCATGGCATCCAGTATCCTTTGGCAATGACTGAGAGGATGAAACTGCTAGTGCACCACGAGCTCCACCAAGCGAACGTGGTACGTAGGCGGCCACGCATTTTGGTGACCATCTTGTCAGTAACCGCGTATTCGTAGGGGTCACTGTTGTGTGCGCATTCGCGAAGTCTGGTGCCTGTGGGAGTGCCATCATGCAAGGAGAAGCAAGGGACGAATACTTGAGTTCATCTGCAGGGCTGATGCCTACCGGAAACCTAGAGCGTGGGGGGGGGGGGGGGGAGTGTGAAGCCTAGTGGCTGAGGAGGGCGTGCCGGGTTGAGGTGCCACATGCGAGCAAGATGCTTAGGTCGGTGGGTGCCTGCGCTTTGAGCGGGTCTGAGCGGCGTGACATGCGTGTGTGTCGGTTTGCACGCCTACGCATGCCGAGCTTGCGTTCGAACCTGAGCCCCGACGTTTGCTTCCCTTGGTGCCCTCGTATTCCCACAACTTGTGCCTTCACCCGCGCTTCTACTCGCGAACGCATGTTACCCTCTTATTGCCGCCTTCGCTTGCGCTATCATTTCTTGGGTTTTGAGACTCAACGCCCGTGTTTTTTTTTTTTTTTTTTTTGTCTTTCTTCTAGCCACCTCTTGTGTGCTTGTGTGGCATGCGTGCGGTGTTGTGTTGCTGTTCCCGTTCGTGGGCCATACCGCGTGCGTGCGCGCATGCTTATGTGACTCGTTTTTTTTTTTTTTTTTCCGATGCCAAGCTGGGCAGCCCTAGATGAGGCTGGTGTGGCTGTTCCTGTATGCCCACGGAGGGGTAATGCTTAGGGTCCAGGGTGTAGCACACCGGGTTGGAGGGTAGGCGCCTTGTAAAGGCTCGCATAATGCTGGAATTCTGTTTTTTTTTTTTTTTTTTTTTGCATGTCCAATCGAGGAGCAACTCTGTGTGGGTAAGTGGCGGGCCATTGGTGTTCCTGATGGCCTTCCTTCTCCGGCCGGGGGTGCTGCGTGACATGCAGCGGGGGTTGAGCCACCCACTATGCTTCCCCGTTCCGTGCTCAATCCCCCCCCCACCTCTTTTTTTTTTTTTTTTTTTTGCTGCACCTCTTATGGTGCTGCTCCCCCTTTTCTCTGGTTATATTAGGGGACCAAGACCTGAAAAAAAAATGAAGGACCGTGGCTCCTTATTTTAACCAAGCTTTATCTCTACTCAACATGCTCCTAGGCATGCAAAGTCCGCCTTGCAAGGTCGGGCTATCATTTGGGACCGAGGGGGCATGTTCCCCTTCCCTTGCTCTGATCCTAGGGCCTTTGATTGGCCTACACTAGGGCTGGCCCTCTGCCACCCGTGCCCCTAAGGGGTGGGCCCAATGGCCTACGCACACACCGGGTGCCTTGCGCCTTGCGCCACTTGCGCAAGCGCCCATGGCCCGACCCCTACACCACTGGTGCGGGTCCTTGGCCACCATGCCCAATCGCCGGGCAGCCGCTGGCCACATGCCCCGGCTGGCCACAGCGGAAGCAAGTGCCTCGGAAGCCACGGAATTCTCCCGTAGGCGGCGGACCACGCTTTGGCACGAACGGCATGGGCATGCGGCCGCCTCCGCGATTTCCACGAGCAAATCCGCCCTCGGCGCGGTCCATGGCGGCCACGTCAGCGACGGCCTGCTTGAAAGGCCTTGAGGTAAGCAAACTCTTCTGCTGGTACAGCTTGAAACGCTTGGCCGTGCGGAAGTCGGAGGCGTCTTCGACTTGGAGAACTTCGAAGCGTCGTGATATGAGGGCGAGCGCGTCGGCGAGGAATTCGAGGCCGCCCGGCGCGTCGCCGTGCTGCACCTTGAACTCGGCGTGCTTTAGGTATGCCCGAAGGTCCTCCAGGACTTCCGCTTGCTCGCGTACGGCCGCGTTGAGGAAAGACGCCGCTGAGAGGGTGGTGTGAGTGGTCGGGAGTGGTGGGAGATGCTCCATGGGAATTGAATTTGCAGCAGTGCCGGGGACCTCACCAGCGTCATTGTCGGAGTCGTCGCTGTCGTTGTCGGCCGCCGGGGTAGGCGGGATGCTGGCGATGGCGTCCTTAGCGAGGCGTGGCGTCTTGGTTCCGCGTGTGGCCTTTTCTGTTTTTGCAGGTTCTTTTTTAGCAGATTCAGAAGCAGCAGGTTGAGCAGTTTCGGCGGCCGTAACACTCGTCGCCTGCTGCTGTAACAGCGTCAACAGCGCGTTGACCTGCGCAGGGGTCAACGCCGGGGTCAATGTCGGGGTGGGCGGCACGTCAGACGAGGCAGCCGCGCGCCCCCTTTTGCGCTGGCGAGAGGGGCCCGCCACTTGCAGGGCTGGCGCGTGCTGCTGCTCGGCGTCAGGCGCGAGTGGCTGGCTCTGCCCAGCCACTTGCGCGTGTGGCTCAGAAGGGGGCGGGGGCGCGTCAGCAAGCTGACTGTTGACCTCGCCCCCTCCCAGCAGAACGTCAACCCCAGTTGGTACGTTGCCCCGTCTTCTGCCCGACGCTTGTTGCGCCGGTCGCCCGCAATTTCCGGGGCGTGGCGAGTAGACTCGGAATTAGGGTGGCCGGTGACGACGTTGGACTCGCCGCGATTATTCGTAGTCGGAGCCATGACGGATCGGTGAAACTTAAAAATGTCGGAGAGAAGAGTTGAGGGAGACTCGCCGCGAGGCAAAGTTCTAGTCTTAGCCAGCTTGAACGGGAGAAAAGCTAGAGCGGGAAGGTTGACTGAGCCGTTTGAAAAATGAGAGACGTGGGTGGAGGTAAATGAGCTCCAACCCACGTATATGTAGTTGGAGAAGGGCGAGTAGCGCGCTTCGACGATGCCCAACGCTTCAGTACAATCAGCTTCGCTTTCACAATACACAATTTTTGAAAAACACTACGTGTGTTAAAAATTATAATATTTCATTTAGCCACTTGTATTGATTCTTCTGCCCGTCTTTGCGCTGCGAATGGCAGCTGACGCGATTTTCATCCTGCTCGTTTTTTTGCAGCTGAGCGAACCTTGCTAATGAAGGACCGAATACTATTTAAAGGCAAGAAAAACGAACAGGGTATTATGTAAAATGCAAACCCAGAAAAGGGGGTACTCTAAAAAATGCGCCATATCATAAGCTATCCCCCGCATATGCCACCCATGGGCTGACTATTTTGGTGGGTCTTATATACGGGGGATTACAGTACCAGACTAAAAGCCTCCTCAAGGCTCTTGTTTTGAGCCACTGTAGGTTATGTCAACTTGAATTCAAGGATTAAACCGTATATTCAAATACGAGCATGTTGCACTGTAACACTGCACTACACCACTCGGATCCGATATTGTCTGCTTGTTCCGCCCAAACTGTACATGCGATCTTATCACCTTGAATTCACATCACCGGGCTAATCTAGCATCTGGAGTTCCAAATTCACGTTGATCGGCCACGAGAAAGGCGGAACGCCATGGAGTGCATTCGTCGTGTCGCCTCACCACTACCTGGAAACCACCTCCCTGTACGCACCAGCTACCGCGTGCCCATTGCGCGCCTTGCGCCATTCCCTCGCAGCCTTACAACACGGGGGACCTCGCAATCAAACACTACGACACTTGGTAACCAGATCTCGCGAGCTCCCCCTGAATCCCATCTTCCGGGGTCGAATTTCCAGGCCTCCTCTCGCTTTACGGTCTGTTCCACTTCACCCGCTCTTGTTACAGTACGAGCCTTTTTTCCTCTAGGATCCTTTGCACTCCAAGCTCATATCCCAGTCCCCCGTGTCATCCAGCGAGTCCCTTTTGTTAAAATTATATAAGTTATAATTTAATATAGGCTTGGTAGGTTGTTACTGAACCTTTCTGTAGAGGGTACAAACCCCTTCTTGTACTCCTCTCTCTTCCTAATCAAACTTCTTCTTCTCGACTTTCTCTCCCTTCCTAGATCCGTTTTTCCTCACGCCATTCCATGGCGGCCTTCTTGCTAGTATCCTAGCCAACCTAGCCTCCTAAGTTTAAGAACCTTGAGTCCTAAGTTTCTAAGACCTTTCACCCTCAGTACATCGGGCCAACTTCGATTTCCCTCACATTATGCTCGGAACCCTATTCAGGTAGGCTCACTTTTGTAATCTAGGCTAGAGTACAGCAGAAATTTGTCTCGACATGTTGTGGCGGTTAGAATCCCTCGGGGTTACATCCCGCCCTTGACGCACGTTGGGCATGTTCTTGCCAGCGTGCGTCAGCAACAGATTCGGCAGGGTGATGGGCTGGATTCAAATCTTCCCGCGTTTCCCTCTCAAGGAATTTTCCGCGCAAACTCACGGTAGTCGTCGCATCTGGGTTCCGCCCATTAAAGTCCGTTTTCGGCGATATCGTGCTGGTCAGTGTCCATTTTCGGCAAAAAAAAAACCGCTAAAACCTAGACTTTCAAACCGTTCTCAAGCCGATTGTTTTCCGATAACCGACGGGTTCAGAGATAACCGAATCCGTTTAAAGAGTGTTCCGCGTCCACAACAGCCCGTGAAAGTACCAAATAATCTGAAACGTACTTATAAAGAATATTTGATGCTTCAAATGAATCAGGGGCATAAGTTTCGGATAAGCTTCACCTGCCCCTCGCTGAAATGAATCCAGGCCACCCCTCCAGCTGAATCTGCTGCTGACGCAATGCGGAAAGGTCATGCGCCACTTGCGTCAAGGGCTGGACGGAACCCCGAGGGTCCGGGCATAATGTGAGGGAAATCGAAGTTGGCCCCAGTACATCTGTTCCGGTGTTTCTGGTGTGTGCAATCTCTGCCTCCCAACCGCACTCACCCGTTCACAAGCACACCATTTTGCTCCCGCCCTTGAAATGTGGAAGTCTGCTTTTCACTTCTCTAGCATCGCTTTACCCTTTTCCCGTAATGAGTTTCAAGACAATCAGGACCACGTGTCAATATGCTTGTAACGATCTTCAATACTCTTCATATTTAATTATTGTTAATAGCATATTCATTACCACTCGTTCCTTTGCTTATGAGCTTCAGCAACAGCTCCTCCTGCCCCACATAGTGCATTTTTCATCTGACACTTCAAATGCAGATTGAAGCTGTTAAAGTGAAAGAATGACTGGAACAATGATATACAAGGGAATATAACCTAGTGGGTTGTACTCCATAAGACCCAACCCTATACAGTCAATAACAACATACAAAGATATGTTTGACACACCCCCTAGACTAGATAGGGGCAGTGCCTGGTGAGAGAGAAGCGGCTCAGGGCGGCACTACTAGTCCAGCCACTGGGAAGAGGCCACAAGGCCAGTCAGGAAATATATATATATATATGTATATATATATATATATATAAGGGTCTGTACACAATCAAGGTCCTAGCAAGTGAGAGGCTACAGGAATGAGACCTAGCTGTACACAGTGCCGCTGATGATCTTTAGGCGCAAGCGCCTTAGTAAAGATATCAGTTGTGTTGGCACCGGAGGCCAAGTGTACTACGCGGGCCTGGCGACGCTGATGCAGCTCGCGCAAAAGGAAGTACCGCAGCTGGATGTGCTTCGCTATGCCCTCAAGTCGTGGCTCCTAACACAGGAGGATCATGGCCCTGTTGCCAGCATACAGAACCGGGGCAGAGCTAGGCCGCTCACCCAGGTCGGTGAGCAAGAAGGTGAGCCAGCGGAGCTCCTGTGCTGCCATGGCACTAGCGTAGATCTCAGCCTCACAGCTAGACTGGGCAACAGACGAGGAGCGGGTGGACCTCCACGAGATGGCACCTGTACCAAGGCTTAAATAGTAGCCCTGGGAGGACCTGAGAGTCTCGGCATCGTCTGCCCAAGTAGCGTCTATGTGCCCTGTAAGGACCACTGGTTTACGTCCTCCTAGCACTAGCCCCGTGCGCGATGTACTTGCTAGATAACGCAAAGCCCACTTAGCTGCCGACCAGTGCTGTGGTCGGTGTCTGCCGGGGGGCCACAAAGTGAGCTAGGATGCTGAGAGGGTATGCAAGATCTGGACGAGTGCAAGTCATTAGGTACATGAGGCAACCTACCAGCTCTGCGTAGGGACCACTAGGCTCCACAGCCTCCTCCAGGACTGGAGCAGAGAGTCTGTGGTCAAGTGGCAATGGGGTGGGCTGTGCGAAAGAGAACTGAAGGCCGAACCTTTGAAGGACCTGGCGCACCAAGTGTGACTGAGTCAAGGTGATGGTGCGCGCTGCTCTGTCCATGGAGATCTGCAAGCCAAGGTAGCGGCGCAGCTCTCCTAGGTCAGTGCAGGTGTGTCTCCTCAGCAGCTTGGCCTTCACGGAGGCCAGCACGTCTTTGTCTGCAGTAGCAAAGACCATGCCATCTATGTGGACAAGGATGTAGAATGGAGTCTGGCCTGAACGAACGAAGAGCGAGAGGTCTGCAGACAAAGGAAAGTACTGCAAGTCAGCAAGTGTAGCACGGAGCGTGTCGTGCCACTCACGGGGCGCCTGTCGCAAGCTGTAGATGAGGCGCCGGAGGAGCCACTCGGTGCAAGGGGGAAAGGTACCGGAGAATCCCTGGGAGCGGCGCAGGTAGACCTGCTCGTGTAGACTGCCCTGGAGGAAAGCTGTGGAGAAGTCGAGGGAGTGCAGCTCGTAGTTCCCCTGTGCTGCTACGTGTAGTAGTGCGCGAAGAGTGGTCATCTTTGGGGTCGGGGCGAAGTTCTGAAAGAAGTCCACCCCCTCACGCTGATTGAAGCCTCGAGCAACGTAGCGCGCCATGAAGACAAGCAGCTCTCCAGGAGGGCGCTTCACCTTGAAGAGCCACCGGACATCGACTACGTTCACCCCAGGTGGGGGAACTGCGTCGACGAAGGTACCGGTGGATCTCCAAGATGCCATCTCCTGCTCCATGGCAGCTATCCACTGAGAGGCCCAGGGTCCCGAGGTGGCCTCAGCGTAGGTGCGAGGGGTCGGGATGTCAAGGGCGTCTGGGTCACCCTCAGGGACTAGTAGCATGGAATAGAGATGGGAAGCGGCCTCAGACAGGAAAGCGAGCTCGAACTGCCTATCCTGTAAGACGTCATTGCCAAGAGCAGGCACACCCCCGACGGCCAGAGGGCACACAGGGTCAGAGACCAGAGCAGTGGCGTAGTCCGGGTGATGGGTAGCAGCGAAGTCAGTGACAGCAGCGACAAGAGCCGACAGACTCAAGAAAGGAATGGACGGGTCGGTAACGAGAGATGCGAAGACACGAGGAACAAGGGGACGCGCAGCACGGAGGAAGCCAGAGAACGGAGGCGGGGCCACAGCAAATGACGACGGGGGATGAGACGGGAGGAGAGGAGGAGCACGAGACGCGTGGGAGCGAAGCAACATAGGATGAGAATGCAGAATAGGGGAGGTAAAACGAGCACGAGATGGACGACGAGACCAGACGTGAGACGGAGGAGTCAGGTTGGGAGAGAGGGGAGGAGACACAGAAAGGGAACGCAGAGGGAAACGAACTGGAGAGGAGTCTGGGTGAAGGAAACACTGGGCCGTGGACCGACACAGGAGGAGGCGGCGGCGACGGGGGAGGCACCGGCAGGTGGTCAGGGGAAGGAAGACTGAGGAGGCAAACAGCGGACACCGGTGGCGACGGCTGCGACTGCTGCCCGACTCCAACACCAGAACCTCCAGCGACAGCACGGCTCCCTCCGAGAAGCTCCACAGTAGCACCCCCAGAACCTGCTCCAGAAGTAGCTCCAGCCCGCTCCCCAGCACCCCCAGAACGCAATAACCCCAGCTGCGGCGACGATGGCGGGTGCGGTTGTTGCTGCGGCGGCAGCGGCGCAGGCGGCTGTGCCTTTGACAGCAACGTCGGCGACAGGGGAGGGGAGACCAGGGTGGGGACTGGCGGGGGAGGAGACTCCGCCAAGCCACGAGAGTCAGTGGACTCCTCGGCAGGGACAACCGATGGGAGGGGGGTGACGTGAGACACACCAGACGGGGCAGGGCGGGGAGGGGGGGGAAAAAGGGCGACCGAGGGAGGGGGGGGAACCAGGAACTGGGGGGGAGTGACCGGGGGACCACAGTGGGGAAGGCGGTGGTAAAAGGAGACGGACTCGTCAAAGGTGACGTCACAAGAGTGAAAGAAACGGTGAGAAGGCGGGTGGTAGAACTACCATTCAGACGAGTCGAGGGGGAAACCTAGGAAGACACTGGGGATAGTGCGGGCGGTGAGCTTGTCCGTGCCAGAGGCACGAACGTGAGCAAGGCAGCCCCAGACATGGAACGCAGACGCGTCACCAGGAGACCCGGTCTAGAGGAGGGTTGGTGAAACCTGCGGCCACTGAGGGTG